GATTCCCTTTCATTCTTGCTGATTTCGGGTTTTGGTTTTGAGCGTTTTTTATTGTTGCTGTTGTTTTGAATGTTTGAAACAATGTGGCTGGGCGCAGTGGCTCACGCCTGTAATCCTAGCACTTTGGGAGGCCAAGGCAGACGGATTGCTTGAGCCCAGGAGTTTGAGACCAGCCTGGGCAACATGGCGAAACCTCTCTCTACAGGAATACAAAAATTAGCTGGGCGTGGTAGTGCACACCTGTAGTCCCAGCTACCTGGGAGGCTGAGGAGGGAGGATCACCTCAGCCCTGGGAGGTTGAAGATGCAGTGAGCCATGATCACACCACTGCACTCTAGCCTGGCAACAGAGTGAGACCCTGTCTTAAAAAAAAAAAAAAAAAAAAAAAAATTAGCTCCAAAAGTCAGAACTATGCAATACAGTAACTCTCCCTTTTGCCCTGTTCTCTTCCCCTGCCCCCTTGTAGGTAAGCAGTCTTGTTCATTTCTGGTTCCTCCTTCCTGGGTTTCATTTTGCACAAACGAGCAGTCACAAGTACGCTCAATCTTCCCTTCTTTCTTACAGCAAGAGGTAGTACCCTAGACTACTCTGCTTTACTTTGCATTTCTTAACAGTTTATTAGGAAAATGATTCCACATTGGTTTGTAGGATCTTCCTCATTTTTAAAACCGCTGTGTCAGGGCTAGGCATGGTGACTCACGCTTGTAATCCCAGCACTTTGGGAGGCTGAGGTGGCCAAATCATGAGGTCAGGAGTTCAAGAGCAGCCGGGCCAACATGGTGAAACCCCTTCTCTACTAAAAATACAAAAATTAGCTGGGCGTGGTGGCGCGCACCTGTAATCCCAGCACTTCAGGAGGCCAAAGCAGGCAGATTACTTGAGGCCAGAGTTCAAGACCAGCCTGGCCAACATGGTGAAACCCCGTCTCTACTAAAAGTACAAAAATTTGCCAGGTGTGGTGGTATATGGCTGTATTCCCAGCTACTTGGGAAGCTGAGGCACAAGAATAGCTTGAACCCGAGAGGTGGAGGTTGCAGTGAGCTGAGATCATGTCACTGTACTCCAGCGTGGGCTACAGAGTGAGACTCCCATCTCAAAAAAAATAATAATAAATAATTAATTAAAACTTTTTTTAAAGCTTCTGTATCAGATCCCATTGTGTGGACATAGCATGGTTTGTTCAACCAACCTTCTATACATGGGCATTTAGGTTTCCAGTTTTGCAATTACGAACACTACTGCAAGGCTGGCCTTGCATAAACCTATTTTTGTGTTGTGAGAGGAGCACTGCAGGGTGAAGTTAGGGGTAATTGCACATATGGTTTTGTTAGGCGGCACCACATTTCCCTCTGTTGGGTCTGGACCAGATGTGTTTCCACCAGCAGCTTTTCAGAACCTCTTTTCCCACAGCCTCACTAACTGAATGTGCCGTTACATTTTTGAGTTTTTGCTAGTCCAGTAGAGGAGAATGTGTTGCGGTGGACTTTTAATTTACATCTCTCCTTTCTGAGTGAGTGGAACATTTTTCAGATGCTTACGGGCCATTTATTTATTTATTTATTTATCGGAGTCTCACTCTGTCACCCAGGCTGGAGTGCACTGGCACAATCTCGGCTCACTGCAACCTCCACCTCCCAGGTTCAAGCAATTATCCTGCCTCAGCCTCCCAAGTAGCTGGGATTACAGGCGTGAGCCACTGCGCCCAGCCCTTCCCAGTCTCATTGAGACAAGGCTTGTAAGGACGTGATGCAAGGTGTGAACGTTCCCCAGAAAGAAGGGCATATGCACAGCACAGCCTGGCTGCAGCATCTGCTTCAAACAAAACAGTCAGCCGAGCTCCACTTTCTTTGACTGAATCATTCTTCATGCTCCACCCATTTCCGGAAAGATGTGAGGCATCTCTCTGGTGCTGAGCGCAAGGCTGTGCACCTCTTTGCCTTCTTGTATGTTGTGCCATGTTGTCTAATTTGTGGCAGTTGTTTTCTGTTTTCCTGCCACAGATCCAGACAGTCCTGACCTGGGGTGGGGAGGCAGGACTCTCTGGCATGGTCTTTATGCTACCCCAGGGAAATCTGGGATCGTTGAAATCTGAGCAGTCATGTCCCTTTGCCATGTGTCAGGCAGAAGCCGCCACTAAATAACCTCTGTGTCAGCATGTGTGGGCGTCGAGGGGGCAGTGCAGACAGACTGCAGCTTTGTGCTTACTTGGACATATTCGTTGACCTCTTGGAGGTTCCATTTTATTGCCCAGCATAGAAGCAGCACAACAAAGTGATGAAGAGAACAGTACCTAGAGCCAGACTGTCTGGGATGAAATTCAGGTTCCAGCGTGTCAGAGCCATGTAATGCCTGGGACCGTCTGTGCCTCAGTTTCTCAAACCTCATAAGTGACTTAAAAGGTGAGAATTCTCAGAACAGTGCCTGGCACATAGTAGATGCTCAGGAATTGTTAGCTTTTATCATCACCAACCACATAATCCATATTTGTGGGATATTGTGAGGTTTAGCTCAAATCATACCAAGTACTCATCATATGTGCTCCACACATTTTACTCCATTAAAATGTTCACTAACAGATTTTTAGCCCGGGCACGGTGACTCACGCCTGTAATCCCAGCACTTTGGGTGGCTGAGTCAGGCAGATCACCTGAGGTCAGGAGTTTGAGACCAGCCGGGCCAACTTGGTGAAACCCCGTCTCTACTAAAAATACAAAAATTATCTGGGCGTGGTGGCGCACGGAGGCTGAGGCAGGAGAATCGCTTGAACCTGGGCGGTGGAGATTACAGTGAGCCCAGATCGTGCCACTGCACTCTAGCCTGAGTGACAGAGAGACACTGTCTCCAAAAAAAGAAATAGATTTTTAGAAAATCTTTCACTTTCCAGGAAGAAAGTTTATATTCTCTATGGCTTTGTGTTGAGGAAACAGCATTAATCTCACTACAGGAGACTGCTTCACTCTCAGTGATTTCTGTCTAGGAATATCTTGGTTCCCAGTATCATTCTGGCCTGAGCTCAGCACATCCCAGGCTGCCCAGATCTTGCCATGCTCTCCTTTGAGCCAAGCTGATCTTAGCTTCTCAGAAGTTTCTGAATTGTCCCCCATGTGGTCTCCCAGACTCTTTAGTTGAAAAAAGGAGCCCTCCCTGCCTGCCCAGAGGTCAGTGCCTGCCCACGGGAAGGGGTTTGCTGTTGAAAGCAGTTACTGTTCACTCGAGTCCGTGGCCACCTGACCCTTTATGGTGCATGCAATTTTACCATGTACTTATGGCCAAGCCCTACATAGTCAACAGACCTCATTAAGTTGTCAAAAAGCATTCTCAGGCTGAGGACATTATGCGACCTGGCTTCAGTTGGCAGAGGTGCGTGGACACTGCCAAGGCTCCTATTTCTGGTTCCAGTGGATGAGGAGGAGGACAATTATTCATAATAATGGCAAACAGCAGGGTGCGGTGGCTCACACCTGGTCATCCCAACGCTTTGGGAGGTGGAGGTGGGAGGATCACGAGCCCAGGAGTTTGAGGCCAGCCTAGACAACATGGTGAGACTCCATCTCTACGAAAAAATTAAAAATTAGCTGGGTGTGGTTGCACATGCCTGTAGTCCCAGCTACTCAGGAGACTGAGGCGGAAGGAACCCTTGAGCCTGGGAGTTCAAGGTTACAGTGAGCTGTGATTGCACCACTGCACCCCAGCTTGGGCAACAGAGTGACATCCTATTTCTAAAAAGAGATAATAATAGCAAACACACATTGAGTTCTAACCAGACGCCAGGCACTATACTGAGGGTTTAAGTGCAGCATCATGTCTGAATCTCACAGCAGCGCTACAAGGTAGGTGCTTGTTATTTCCACATTGTACAGATGAGGAAACTGAAGCCGAGGAGAGGTTCAGTAACATGCCAACGTCACGTGGTACTTGTAAAGGGCACAGATGCAGCCCCACAGTCTCATGGCAGAGCCTGCAGCGCTGCACCGCACTGTTGCCTGAGCAGAGTTCACTCCCTGACCAGAGAGCCACAGAGGCAGGACTGAAGGTCAGGGGACAGGGTTTCCTAGGATCTGCAAGTCTTTCAGAAAGGCAACTAACTGTGCAGCGCTCCAGCTGGCTTTCTCATGGAGATTGAGCAGAGGCATCTCCTCTCCGGTAGAACACAGACCGTCTCTCCCCTCCCCCTTGTTGGTTTTACCCAGGCTTTGTTTTCTGAAAATGTGGCCGGGCCTGCTTAACATGCTTAGCAGGGCACTGGGAAATGCACTTCAGTGGCCGGTGCCAGCTAGCTTTTTGGAGTTTTAAAAAGACTTTCAGAAGTCTTATTTCTCCCCCACTGAGAGGAGGGAAAAGGGTTTTTTTTTTACAGTAACTCCTTTTGAGAGAAATGTGGAAACAGTGGGACCAGTGAAGTTCCTTCTGATAATAAAAAAGCGATATCTGTGTCTGAAGCAGGAGGCTTGAGACGATTTTTATGGACAAAGCAAGAAATAACTGCATTCAGAAACAGGTGAAATTCCCAAAGATGATGGAAAGGACTACAGATGGGGAAATTGTGTGTGATCACATGAGTATCTCTTCCTGAAATGAGGGACACATTGATGGAGATTATTAAAGCCAACAGTCATTGGGCTCGCTTGCCGAGTGCTGGAAGTCAGTATTTCACAGATGAGGGTCTGTTTCTTGTGCATGTCAGGAAGGTTTACTTAGCCTGTTACCAGCAGAATTAGTCCAGCTGTAGCTCCGTTTTTCCTAAGCAGTGGGAAAGGCTGCTTATCCTGTCTGAAAGCAGGGGCTGGAGAAGGGGAATTTTCTTAGAATTTAACAACACAATCTGAGGCTGAAACTCTGTGATTGGAAATGCGGTTTTGTACATGCTTGGTGTCCCTCTGATGTCAGCATCTCCTGACTGTGTATAATCTAGCCCCACTACCTCCTATTTTAAGGAATTCCTTCAGTCAGGGGTCAGCTGCCTGGAAGCAGCTTATCTCAGAATGCTCTTTCTGTTTCAGGTGTCTGTTCTAGGATGTCCCGACCCAGTGGTGCATGAGATCGCCTATCAGTACGGAAAAAATGTAGGAATAGCTTTTCAGGTTGGTATGCTTTTTATTTGTAAGAATGGTGGCACGGTGATACAGTCAGCATTCTCCCCTAGTGTGGAATTGTCAAAATAGTAGGAACGATGGCAGCGATGTTGGCATGGCGGTGCTCCTTACATCCCATTTTTCCTTTTGCCAGCTGATAGATGACGTGTTGGACTTCACCTCATGTTCTGACCAGATGGGCAAACCAACATCAGCTGATCTGAAGCTCGGGTTAGCCACTGGTCCTGTCCTGTTTGCCTGTCAGCAGGTAAGTGTTACGAACTCCCTGCGACACACCTGATGGGAAGGTTGCATAACGGAATAGATGGGAAGGCATTCAGGTAAGAGATCACAGGTCTGCATTTGATCCTGGCTCTGAGTGAGATGTTAGGGCTGGTCATTTCACCTTGCTAAGCCTGTTTCCTTATCTGTAAAATTGAGAAGATCACCTTTCTCCCAGGGTGATTGTGAGGATTAGCTAAGATCCTATTTAAGATCTTTGTGTCTTGTGGTGTGCCAGAGGCATTTGAGGTAGCATCGTGATTATTTCCATATATTTTGGCCACTGGCAAAGTGAATGGTTTCCAAGTCTTGATTATAGGACTGGACTCTGGTGGTCCTCAGAGCCCCTTAAAAGGCACAGGAAGCATCAGGGGCCTCCAAGCATAAGAAATTCTCCAGTTTTAGAAGTTTAATGAGACTCTGCTGCTCTGAGAGAGGCCTTAGAACTTCGGCCATTGCCTCAAAATGTCAAGAAGTCAGTGGAGTGCAGTAGACCCACATAGTTCCTTCTTTCTCCGGATCGTGGGACTGCGAAGTGAGGAAGTCAGTACAGCTGCCCTCGTGTCCCCCTTAATGTGAATGAAAGGCTTAGGAAGCTTCAAAGATGTTCCCTCGACTGACAAAGCAGACATCCTCACAGCCTCCTCTAGACGCTGGCCACATGGCTTGTGGCTGTACTGAATGTTACTTGAAATAAGTGAGACATTAGTTGGCGTTGGAACATCTTGTTAATAGATTTTCATCTTAGTAGTATTTAATTTGGTAGGTAGCAAAGCAATAAGATGTTCATCACCGTGCCATGAAATTCAACATTAGCTCTTTGGTCTAAAATTGTAGTCACTTTTGGTCTTTCAGAGATTTTGCCTCATTCTGTCTTCACGTTTACAAAGGTCAATCATGTCCTCCATAGAATTCAGTGATTCCACTGTGATACAGAAACCATGGTCCTTGCTTTTGGTGGGTTTCTATTGGAGAGAAGAAAGGTTATCTTTCACCCACTATCTAGCACAGCCATTGGCAGCGTGATTCTTCCCAGGGGAGGCTGATGTTCTGGGTGGCTGGGCCAGGCTGCTTTGGCAGCTTGCTAGGGCTATGAATGGAGACGTCAGGGCACTTTGTAGGAGCACCTGCCCTCATTACAAGGCTTCCATCCTCTCAGACTTTGGAGGCTGAGGTGAGAGGTGAAAGGTATGCTATAAATAGGTCCTCTCTCCCAATGAGACTTACTTGCCAGCCCCAAATCAAGGAGCATAATACATGTGCCCAGTTTTGACAAAAATTTCTAAAAACCCCCTTTTGTACATTGAGGCATGAGTGAGAAACGTTTGAGCCGTGTAGATACTATGCCGGGGATTAGAAAAATGAGGCACTGGCTTCCACCTATACAACTGCAAACATTACTTCTCAGATAGTTAGTAAACATGAGTGAAGGACAGTAAGATGGACTGAGTGTGCTGAAATCCAGCTAGCTTGGTAAAGATTCCTTTACCTAGGCTCTAAGATTGTCAGGATAAAAGGAAAAAGCGTCTCCCTGGAGAAGTCGCTGAAAACATTTTGGTTGCTGTATTTGTAGAAATCTTCAAGTTGTTAAATACTTGTTATGAACCCCAGAATACTAAGTTATCGGTTGAGTCCTTCGTAAACCTTAAGTTTCACTCTGAATATATTTCGAAAGAAAGTAACTTACTTTCCCCTCCACACACAAAGGAGTAATGGCTAACTCTGCCTTCATATATAGTGGGGGACAGGGGAAGTGGACCTCTTCTACATAGTATCTGTCAGTAATCTATAAGAGATTGAAAAATGCTGGTTAAGGCTGGGCGCGGTGGCTCATGCCTGTAATTCCAGCACTTTGGGAGGCCAAGGCAGGTGGATCACGAGGTCAGGAGTTCAACACCAGCCTGACCAATATGGTGAAACCCCGTCTCTACTAAAAATACAAAAGTTAGCCGGGCGTGGTGGTGCATGCCTGTAATCCCAGCTACTCAGGAGGCCGAGGAAGGAGAATCGTTTGAACCTGGGAGGCGGAGGTTGCAGTGAGCCGAGATCGCACCACTGCACTCTAGCCTGGGCGACAGAGTGAGACTCCATCTCAAAAAAAAAAAAAAAAAAAAAAATGCTGGTTAAAAAACGCAAGCAAAAGGAAGAAAAAAGATTACTGTACCCCGAGCTATGGTTTTATGTGTGCTTTACTGGGAAATCCCAGTCATGAGGCACCTACTCACAGTCACCAGACAGCAGTGTTCTCATCTGCCCATAAGGCAGTGAGTTTAAAAGGCACATTGCAGCCTCAGAAAAGGGAACACAGAATGGAGTCCAAGCAGGAAGTGACTCTGGACAGAACTCATTTCAAAAGTAGACTGATGTTTCTGTCTTGTGGCACATGGGCCAGACGTTAGCCAAATATGTATTTGTAAGTTGCCTTCTAATAAAACAGCAAGGTTAGGCTTTTTTGTGGAATACACTGTCACACAAGAGATTCTTAGCAAGAAATGTGTCAAAAGATTTTTGGGACTAAAATTCATTCTGGGTAAAAACAAGTTCCAAAAATAACGTAAGAATGTGCAGTATCTCCACTTAATGAAAATGTGTTTTTAGTTTACAAAGGATTCTTTTATACATTATCTCTAATCTCACAACTCCTCTTTGTGGTAGATATTATGGTGTCTATTCTACAAGAAAGAAACTGATGCTCAAACCTCGCCAAAATTAAACATCTGGTAAATGGCACAGCAGGGAACTGAACAAGTCTAAGACCAGTATTCATTTTATTACATCATACACAGTGTTATTGCCACTGGTAATGCTGAGAAGTTAGTAGCTATGATACCAAACAGGCCTTCCCACAGAGCAGGTAACTAACCCACCCGGGCACTGATGATACTCAAAGAATCATCTCTGTGTGATGTCTTTGTTATTGTGAACAACATACCTACTTAGTGGAGTAGTTCTAAGACGTCTGTAATCCTTTCCCTTTGGTAGGTGAGTTGTGTGTGCTGATGAGATGCTCTTTGAGCTTTTCCATTTGTGAACACTGGGCAAGCATTCTTGGGAAACCACCTTTTCCTTTTTAACTTGGTGTGGTGGGTTGTCTTGGAGTTTGCTCCACCCAGCACTTGACAGAAACCCCCTCTCTTTGGAGTTCCTTTATTTTTAACATCTCTCTTAAGGGGTTTCCTGGTAACAGTTGGTTCAGAGGATTTAAGAAGAGTTTTGGGGATTTCTGGTGAAGTCCCAGGGATGACAACATCCTCCCATGTATGTATGTATATGTGTACATATTCTCTTTAAGAACAAAAACCTCAAGTTAATTGGATTTTGAAAGCTTCAGAAACAAAATGGAAGTGCTTTACTTTATCTGGTGAAACTTCATTACTTTTCAAATATCTTTTTTAACAAAAACAAATCTTTCCTTTCTTCTGCTTCTCTTCCTTATTTGCTAAGTCACTAGACCCAAATGTCAGCTGTAGCCACGTTTCCAAATGCCATCACCAGCCCCTGCACCAGCTGCACAGGCCTTATGCTGTCGTGGTGACTAGTTGGTGCCTTAGAGTGACCCACGTTTTGCTTGGGAAAACTCATCTACTGATCACCTTGGCGGTTTAGTGTATGGATGGGTTTCACAGCGCTACAACCTGATTTACCCACAGGTGGTTTTCCTACTCTTAAAAACACCACCTGAGCAAACAGAACTTTTATTTGTCACTAAATCTGCAGGCAACTGTTCTTCCTGCTGTGTTTCTCTTTTCTTTTCCACATACACATGAAGGGGACTGGGGAGTGCCCGGGGAAGAGTTGGATGTTTTGCATATTATAATTGCACACATGACATGTTTGGAAGGAAGGATGTAGTCACTCAATGCAAATAATTTTTTCAAATTTTGCTTTCTCAGTGCTTTTCATAGTAAAAGCATCAGTGAAAACACCCAATCAGCACATCTTACTACACTTGCTGGTACTGTAGAAAAAGCTTATACATCATAAACACAGTAATGTCACCAGATGCCTACAAGAGGATCACATTAGTGTTAACGATAAAAACCTTCTAGATATCCAGCAAGTATGTGGTATTAAAAAACGAAAACAGGCTATGTGTAGTGGCTCACACCCATAATCCCAGCACTCTGGGAGGCCCAGGTGAGAGGATCATGTGAAGCCAGGAGTTTGACACCAGCCCAGGCAACAAGGCAAGACCCCATCTCTATAAAAAATTTAAAAATTGGCCAGGTGCAGTGGCTCACGCCTGTAATCCCAGCACTTTGGGAGGCCGAGGTGGGCGGATCACAAGGTCAGGAGATCAAGACCATCCTGGCTAACATGGTGAAACCCCGTCTCTACTAAAAATACAAAAAATTAGCCGGGTGTGGTGGTGGGTGCCTGTAGTCCCAGCTACTCGGGAGGCTGAGGCAGAAGAATCATTTGAACCCGGGAGGCGGAGGTTGCAGTGAGTCAAGATTGTGCCACTGCACTCCAGCCTGGGCGACAGTGAGACTCCATCTCAAAAAAATAAATAAATAAAAAATAAAAAAAAATTAGCCAGGTGCATGCCTGTAGTCCCAGCTACTTGGGAGGCTGAGACAGGAGGATCACTTGAACCTATAGGAGTTTGAGGCTGCAGTGAGCTATGATTGCACCACTGCACTCCAGCCTGGGCAACAGAACAAGTCTCAAAACAAAACTAAAACCTACTTGATTTGGCTTTTTTACCACAGAAGTTGATTTGGGCTTCCCTGATTTCTTTCTAGTAGCTTGTTTTCTTCTTAAAACACCAGTAACTAAAGGAAATTACTGGTTTTCATAAGAACTAACCAGTTGCTGGCTCTATAAATTCTGTAAACACATTAGCAGTCTCTACATGTTTAGAGCTTTGTTCTGACACATATTTTGGTCTGAAAGAAACATTCTTTCTTCGTCTGTGATCACTCGGCTGAGGCTTTTCTATGTATGCCCTATTTTTTCTTCTGGGATTACTAATACCATGGTCATGGTTACAGGACAACAACTTATTCATCTTCAGGTTCACTGCCAGGGAAAAACTGGCAACTGCTATAAGCACTGACGTGGCCAAAACCAAACACATCTTACCTCTTCCGTGGAGCCATAGACTGTTAGAGCTCAAGGGCTTCCGGTCAAAAGAGGAGAAGCCTAAGACCCCAGGGACTAAGGAAGTCACTCAGCTGTGGCAGTTGGTAGCCAAACCAAGACTAGAGCTCGGATCTAGGAAGTGAAGTGATTTGGTGTCCTGGCTTTTGTATTCTGTTAATGGTGACAGTTATAAATCGTTGCTAAGTATTGTAGAATATCGATTTTACCTTCAATTGAATTTTTACCCTTTTTTTTTCCCCTCTTCTTGCTATCAGGTTAATTCAGGTCTTTTTTATAAACTACTCCAGTAACCTGTTTGTTCTGTCTACCTCTGACTCTTGGTTCTCAACCTTGGCTGCACATTAAAAATACCAGAGTAGATGGGAGGGGGTTGAAAATCCTGGTGCCCAGACTAAACACCAAGCTAATATAATCAAAATCTCTGGGAACAGGATCTAGGCAACTGTATTTAAACCTCCCCAGGCCAGGCGCAGTGGTTCACACCTGTAATCCCGGCACTTTGGGAGGTCGAGGTGGACAGATACCTGAGGTCAGGAGTTCGAGATCAGCCTGGCCAATACGGCAAAACCCTGTCTCTACTAAAAATACAAAATTAGCCAGGTGTGGTGGTGCACACCTGTAGTCCCTGCTACTCGGGAGGCTGAGGCAGAGAATCGCTTGAACCAGGGAGGCGGAGGTTGCAGTGAGCCGAGATCGTGCCACTGCACTCCAGCCTGGGTGACACAGCAAAACTCCATCTCAGAAGAAAAAAAAAAACACAAAATCCTCCCCAGCTGATCCCAGTATGCAGTCAGTGTCATGCACCACTGCTCAGATCCACTCTACACACTGCTTAAGGCAGAGCTCTGCACGTAATGCTCTCTGCTCAGAAACCTCAATAGCTTTCAGTTGGTAATCAATTTAGTACTTAGAGTAGAATGCCTAATTCCCATCCTCATCCTAGGCCAGTGACTCACAAAATGTTGGCAGAGACCAGAGATACTGGTATCACCTGGGAATCTGTTAGAAATGCATGCCAAGGCTCCACCCCTACTCAATCAGAAACTGGGGGAGAGGCCCCACAAGCAGTACAGGCGATCCTGATACAATTTCAAGTTTACCAACCATGTTGTTTCTTATTTTTTCATTTGAGATGGCATTTCACTCTTGTTGCCCAAGCTGGAGTGCAGTGGCGTGATCTCGGCTCACTGCAACCTCCGCCTCCAGGGTTCAAGCAATTCTCTTGCCTCCACCTCCTGAGTAGCTGGGATTACAGGCGTGCACCACCACACCCGGCTAATTTTTTTATATTTTTAGTAGAAACGGAGTTTCACCATGTTAGCCAGGCTGGTCTCAAACTCCTGACCTCAGGTGATCCGCCCACCTCAGCCTCCCAAAGTGCTGGGATTACAGGCGTGAGCCACCGCGCCCAGCCAGAACCATGTTGTTGTTGAGATGTACTTTATTCCTCCTGCCTCTCTTACTCAATGTTGGACTAGGATAAAACATCAGAATAAACAAGGACTAATGTCTCTCCGCCTGTACACCACCACAGTGCCTAGGCATAGACAGTGGATGTCTCTTAGCTCAGCTTTTGTTGCCACAGTTCATTGCTCCCCCACATCATCTAGACATTTAATTACATTTTTGTTGTTTCTTATTTCTTATTGTTACAAACTAGTGTTAGAACACTTGTTTCCCCCAAGAGAAATAAACAGATTTTCTCTCTTTTTTCTTAGTTCCCAGAAATGAATGCTATGATCATGCGAAGGTTCAGTTTGCCGGGAGATGTAGACAGAGCTCGACAGTATGTGTTACAGGTAAGACTATTTTTAAAAGAAAGGCAGCAGCAGGAACAACGTGGCAAAGTCCTTTAATCCAAAAATGGAACAGTAAACATTAAATTACAGATACAAGACTGTTTGGTCAACTCTTGATGTGACAACTGAGAAGGGAAAACTCATTTTTTCGGATTTTTTGTTTTCATTTCTCTTCTAGACTACTTAGGAAATATTTTGTTTTAACTGGTCTTGGGTAAGGCACAGATATTAATGTCTTGTAAAAGGTACCTAAGTGATTCTGGTGAACTGTTAGTGTTGAAGCCCAGTGGTGTAGAACCAGCCTTCCCTGTGTCCATCAACAGAATCACTAGGCCCCCAGTCACCCAGCCTCGGCCCCAGCCTCATCCGTGTCCCCATCCGTGACCCCACGCGGGCTGCAGCTGCACTGCTGCAATGGGCTACTCCTAATTGGGCTTTCCTAGTCTGTCCTACCTGTTATAAAAGTGTGACTAAAGAAATGATCATTGAAAACAATTAAACCAACATAGGCAAACTATACATTTATACAAACATTTTTCTTTTAAAGGGAGAACCATTTAACCCTGTTTAGGGGCTAGTGGCTTGTTTTAAATATATTGCCACATGTCTTCAGAAGCTTTCTGTGGAAGCCAGATCTCTTTGCATGACTTGAGTTTTGGTGACTGACTCTCTTGAGAATGAATGAGCCATTTCCAAGTTCACCGTCATTTGCAGCCAACAGATCTCCCAGATGAGTCGGAGTGAGCAAAAACATTGTTACAAAGCAAGTGTGGCGTGAGATCCGTACTTAGTGTAGTACCTGAAAGACTTCCAAATAATTACCGTTCTGATTCTTAAAACATTTAAAAAGCAACCCCAACCCCTAAAAGGTTATTTTTCTCTTTTAACTGACTATGCTGTTAAGCCTCATCATTCACTATGGGTTACTGCCTTTTTTGGAGAATGGTTTAAAAGTACTATTAAAAACTATGGGAGGGAGCTGGAGCTGATAAAAGTCAATATCCCTGGGAGAGGTTCTGGCTTCAGAAATAATGGTATTGAAAGCTGGAGTGGGAGGTGGAACTGAAAAGAGGGAAATTAATAGTAGCACCTATGGAAAATAGCAAAGTTCCAGCAATCCTAGCCAGAAATGCATTTAGAGAAAACAAAAATCCACGGGAATATTCTCTGAACAAATTCTCCAAAATTCTAGCTCCCTGTTCACCCACATAGCTTCTAGTCCTATTCCCTCATTAAATGTGAATAGACAACTCAGGGTTACAAATGAGTTGACTAAAGCTTGCTGAACAAAAGAATGGGACTAAAATAACGGGGGTGGGGGGGAAAACTCAGGAAAAACATAAATAGGAGGATCCAAAAATATACCACATTCACAAAACAAGACAGGATCAGACTTTTTAAATGAGTAAGAGCAAGTTCTAAGAAACTGGAAATGACTGAAGAGCAAACTCCAAAGAAGGGCTGCAATGTGAAATTGAGGAAATCCTCCCAAGTGTAAAACAGAAAGGGGGAAATAGTGAAAAATAAGAAGAGCTACAAGGACCGGTGCCATCATGTAACAAGTATTTCAGGAAGAAAATAAAAAAGTGGTCACTTACTCAAGAAAAAGGTATCAAAACTGGCTCAATGAATAGCAAAAATACTGGATGCTAGAAGGCAGTGGAGGAAGGTCTTGCAAATAATGATTAAACATTTTAAACCTAAGATCCATTAAATCTGAAGGCAAAAGGAAGTCACCACACATCAGGACTAAAACACTGACTTCCCATAAACACTTTTTTATTTTATTTTTCTGAGACAGAGTCTCACTCTGTCGCCAGGCTGGAGTGCAGTGGTGCATCTCGGCTCACTGTAACCTCCGCCTCCCGGGTTCAAGTGATTCTTCTGCCTCAGCCTCCCGAGTAGCTGGGAATACAGGCGCCCACCACCATGCTCGGCCGATTTTTGTATTTTTAGTAGAGACGGGGGTTTCACCATGTTGGCCATTGTGGTCTCCATCTCGTGACCTCGTGATCCGCCCAGCTCGGCCTCCCAAAGTGCTGGGATCACAGGCGTGAGTACCACACCTGGCCTGCGTGAACACTTTCTGGGTAGGTTATTTGCAGATGTACTTCAGCAAAATGTGTGGAAAACACTGAGAGAAGGCAGGCTTTTGTACAAAAAGGAACAGCAAACTAAAATGTGTCATGTTTTGAGCAATTGGTATAGAAAATCAGATTTCTTTCAACCACAGTGTTAGGAATATTCTATTTCTAAATGTCAGAGAGATCTGGGCGCACTGGCTCACGCCTGTAGTCCCAGCACTTTTGGGAGGCCGAGGCGGGTGGATCAATCACTTGAGGTCAGGAGTTTGAGACCAGCCTGGCCAACATGGTGAAACTACGTCTCTAGTAAAAATACAAACATTAGCCAGGCGTGGTGGCACACGCCTGTAATCCTAGCTACTCAGGAGGCTGAGGCACGAGAATCCCTTGAGCCTGGGAGGCGGAGGTTGCAGTGAGCCAAGATCACGCCACTGCACTCCAGCCTGGGCAACAGAGCAAGATTCTGTCTCAAAATAGATAAGTAAATAAATAATAAATAAATGTCAGAGGGATCATGAGCCATGGAGAAGGAAATAGAATTATAGTATATGACTTGATTCTGCAGTAAATATTTTTACAATATAGAAATGATACTTTATTAGTATTTGGCTTTTAGAAAGAACCAATATTTTAAAACATGGTTACAGAATAGAATGTAAATATCCATAGTCTAACAGTATAGAAAGGACAGGACAGGAGCTCATACAAGATAAAATCAGAAGTTAATGCTACCTAACAGAAGCAATCAACAAAACAACTAAAGACAGCAGTGTCATGATCAGGAGGCACAATATGGGAGGGCTAAATCCTCATCTTAATAAAAAGGTAACAGATAATAACTAAAACTGGCAATCAAGAAATAAAAACTAGGCTGGGCAAGGTGGCTCACACCTGTAATCCCAGCACTTTGGGAGGCCAAGGTAGGCAGATCACTTGAGGCCAGGAGTTTGAGACCAGCCTGGGCAACAAGAGCAAAACTCCATCTCAAAGGAAAAAAAGAATACACACACACACAAAAAAAATTAGCTGGGTGTGGTAGCTCATGCCTGTAATCCTAGCACTTTGGGAGGCCAAGGTGGGTGGATCACCTGAGGTCAGGAGTTCGAGACCAGCCTGGCCAACATGGAGAAACCCTGTCTCTACTAAAAATACAAAAAAAAAAAAAAAAAAAAGGCCGGGAATGGTGGCACATGCCTGTAATCCCAGCTACTAGGGAGGCTGAGGCAGGAGAATTGCTTGAACCTGGGAGGCAGAGGTTGCAGTGAGCCAAGATCGTGCCATTGCACTCCAGCCTGGGCAACAAGAACAAAACTCCATCTCAAGGAAAAAAAAAAAAATACAAAAATTAGCTGGGCATGGTGGCATGTGTCTGTAGTCCCAGCTACTTGGGAGGCTGATGCAGGACAACTGCTTGAACCCGGGAGGTAGAGGTTGCAGTGAGCTGAGATCACGCCATGCACTCCAGTCCGGGTGACAGAGTGAGACTCTGTCTCAAAAAAAACCCAAAAACTAATGCATAAAGTGAGTGCCTTTGGAAGAAAGGAACCTGATTTTCTTCATAAACCCTCTGTACTTTCATTTTGTTATGTCTTTATTCTTTATCTTTTAAGTTTTACTTGTGTTTTTTTTACATTTAAATGTATAACAATACTTTGTATGTAGAACTTTTGAGAAAGTCTGATACTTAAGTAAAAGGGGAAAATGGATGACCACGTAATATTGATGAGCTAGTTGCTTTGCATGCTAATAGAATAAAAATTTGCTTCAATATGAGAAAAAGGCCTAAAGGAAGTTAGCACTATGAGTCGGGAAAAGAACATTAGAGATGTAGTTTGACTGTTGAAACTGTAACCCTCAGCTCATCTGATCTCAAAACTATGTGTTCATTTATTATAGCAGGCAGTTAAAACGCTGATTCAGTCAGTGACAGGCATCTGTTCTGTTTTGTTCTGTATCTCGTAGAGTGATGGTGTGCAACAAACAACCTACCTCGCCCAGCAGTACTGCCATGAAGCAATAAGAGAGATCAGTAAACTTCGACCATCCCCAGAAAGAGATGCCCTCATTCAACTTTCAGAAATTGTACTCACAAGAGATAAATGACAACTCTTTCTGTTCTTTCTGGCAGCTATCTTACCAGACTGTGCCTAAAGAATTTTGTGGAATACACTGTTTGCTTCATGTGCAGATAACCAAAAATCATTTTAAAAGATATCAAACTTATTGATGGGCAATTTATTTTTTTTATTGCAAAAGTTTTTTCAGAAAACTTTTTAAATGTAATTAAACCATCTGAATCTGTCATTCTAGTCCTATAAATTATAATCAAGGTATCTTGATGGTTATATGTGGTATTGTTTACACTGTTAATATCCACATGTAAGGCCATTACACAAATAAATAATCGATGTTAAAATTCAAATGGTTTGTCTTGATTTACTGTGGGAGTAAAGATGAGAAAATGTGAGGTCTGCATTGAAGTCCACATCAGTTATATTTTAACAGTATCCAAAGTTTCATATAGGAGAATGGTTTATTATAAAAGACTGTACATAGAATTTAGACAACAGGTTATATACAAATTAAGAGAACAATCCACTTCAAAAATGGAAAGTAGAAGGTAGCTAGCTGATCACTAATGATACTTTGTTTAAAATTAACAAAGGCAAAATGCGTATGAAATAGTCACATTGATTTGGTAGCAGTAATGGTCTTTAATTTTCAGAAATAACTGTTTTGCACTAGTCTTACCATTCACTATGGTGTTACAAGTCTGTAACGTCCAGTACATAACTGTAATTTGAATTCCAAACAAATCCTCAATAACACGGAAACCCACACTTGAGTGCTCTACTTTAATATCCTAAGCAATATAGAATTATACACAAGAAGAGAAAACATCCCTCAGCCCTCCCTTAAATTAAGAGGAGACACACAAAGTGCATGTGTTGCATTTTGATTATGTCAAAAGACAATACAAGTCTGTTCATTAGGTAAATCTCTGTTCACTGATTAATATATGACCCACCTTCTTTCCCAATTATTTTATTTTAAAATTCTAATGTTGCTAGTGCCAGGTAATGGATTAAATAGTGCCTATTCACAAATCAACTGTATCCACTTTTACAATATGTAAAAGGTACTTTTAACTTCCTTTCATTGAACCAGTGTACAACAGTCCACTGCAAAACTGAAGGACTGACATGGCAATCCTTACGAATTTTACTTACAGAATGAATGCACACAATTTGACACATTTTCTTAGCTTCAAAGGATTCTTTAAAAAAGGAATTCAGTAGATTGACTTGTAAATAACCATTGCAGATTTTGAATCTGCAAAAACCCGTCACATTGCTGTTGGGACAGATTAAGATAAGGCTAAAATTTTTTTCCAAGTTAACATATTGAGAAAATAGAACCATAATTCTGCAATAAATCATTATCTTTTATTTTTTTTTTAAAAGCAAACCAGTGAAGGAAAGGACAAAAACCTTTGGTTCACTTATGTATTTATGAATGGAAAAAATTTATAATGCAAATTTCACTCATTAAAAAACTTAGGTACAAATTACAACATTACAGATAATTCTCTTTTTGCTTCTTTTGTTTCACATGGAGACCCTTGGAGACTCAATTCATGTTAAGACACCTAAGTATGAGTCCTCCAGGTAAATATTACACAAATGGGAAGCATCTTGGAATTTTTAAGTATATTTCAATACATAAATTTTTATGCATGCTTTAAACAAACAGTATTTTTTTTAAATGAGAGAATCTAACAAAAAAAGTCTGACCAGCACCAGCATTTAAATTTTCTGATTTTAATATTAGTCTGACATAGCGTTAGTAATCATGCTGCACTGAAACATGTAATGGTACAATCTGAATAATGATTCGTTAAATATTATACCCCACTTCCCCCAGAATATTTAGGCTGGTCATAAAGTTAAAAATGTGTAAGTAAGTACATAAGCATAATCAGTTATGGACAGCTTCTTGTATAAATTGCTATTTAGCAATACACAAACTGCCTCAAAGATTTATGCTTACACGTAGACATTCAATTTACCAATAAAACAGCATGTTCTGAAAATATGGGCACATTTTAAAACATATTAAGACAGTTCTGTTAACCATAATTGTCCCACAGTATGACTGAGTAATAAGAATCTACTTTAAAAGCCCAAAAAAAAAAAAAAAAAAAAAAAAATTAATCAGTATAGTGCATGATTGATTCAACATAGTTCCCAGGGAACAGACCAGTCACTCGATTGCAGACTCCTTCATACCAGCCATCATCATTCTTCTTTATAACATAAATGATTGCACCCTCCATAAATGACAGCTCATCATCCTTGTCTTTTGTATAATCATATATTGCAACAACTATGGAAAAAACAGTTGAAATATCACATGAATGCACTATATCCAACATTTACTTGAATTTTAAGACAAAGCCAATTAAATATATAGCACAGCAAAATCATTTTTATGAAGATATCTTAATTTTTGTATCTATCAATATAAGTAGGTCAGTGCCAACCATGTACTTATATCATTGGCTTAATCTTAGAGTCAAATGACAATCTGATTAGACTGAACAGGTCAATAGGTTCTGTCAATCACTTTAAGAAAGCTCTCTGAATTTCAGAATTTATTAGATGTTTCAATTCATTCAAATACCAAGTGCCTATATCATATACAAAGCACCGCTTTTCGAAATAATTATCAGGCAAAGCTGCATAGCCATTCAGTAAACCAGGTAACAACCCAAGCTATCTAATTTGAAAATACACAGTCACTGGAAGGTAAATCACATCCTACTCATTCAAGGACCCATGCTAATTTAAGGGACTGTTCCCAGATTTTTTCAAAAGAATATTTACTTACTTCAAAGGATTTTAATTAATATTTAGAGAACTTGGCAATTCTGTGGTGTCTGTAATTCTTTTCAGTTCAAGATATAGGTTGAGTAACCCTTATCTGAAATGCCTGGGATCAGAACTGCTTTGGATTTGGGTTTTTTTGTCAGACTTTGGAATTTTACACATATGTAATGAGATATCTTGGAGATGGGATCCAAGTCTAAACACAAAACTCATTTTTGTTTCACATACACCTTACACACATAGCCTGAAGGTAATTTTATTTTTCCCTTGGGAACACTGAATAAACTGTGTCATGTGCCTGCGTTCTGACTGTGACCCATCACATGAGGTCAGGTGTGGAATTTTCCACTTGCGGCATCATGTTGGAACTCACTGTGGATTTTGGAGCATTTTGAATTTGGGACTTTCAGATAGGGATGCTCAGCCTATATTCACTTCCTTTGCAAACTGCTGTGGAAAGCAATCTAAAGTGTATCATGGCCCATGGACAAATCCAAACCACTGCATTTTTTGTAAATAAAGTTTTATTGCAATATGGCCACATCTACTTACTCATGTACTGTCTATGTCCTTTTTCACGCTACAACAGCAGGACTGAGTAGTTGTGACAGAGACTGTATCGCCAGCAAAGTTTAAAATATTTACTCTCTGGCTTTATACCAAACAAAGTGTGCTCACCCCTAGTTCTTGGGAAGATACTTTTTAATCCTCCTCTGCTATCAAGTATATTACCCGATACATCATTCCAAATTTGTCAACTCATATAAATATGCTCCCATTTTCATAGTTAAATTTGCTTTACCAAGTAAGAAAATACGAGTAAAAACACAATTCAAGGCCACTCAAATTTATCATCCTCGTAAGTAACAACAGCTCTCTATTTGAAGGTATATGGGAATCTAAAGTAGAATATTTAAGACTTTCTTAACAATATGTAAATTATTTACCGTTTAAAAATATAAGGCCAGACGCGGTGGCTCACACCGCTAATCCCACCACTGGGAGGCTGAGACGGGCAGATCACTTGAGGTCAGGAGTTCAAGACCAGGCTGGCCAACATTGCAAAACCCCATCTCTACTAAAAATATAAAAGTTAGCTGGGCGTGGTGGCGGGCACCTGTAATCCCAGCTACTTAAGAGGCTGAGGCAGGAGAATTGCTTGAACCCAGGAGGCAGAAGTTGCAGTGAGCCGAGATTGCACCACTGCACTCCACACTGGGAGACAGAACAAGACTCCATCTCAAAAAATAAAACAATATAAAAGGAAAACAAATTTACTTTTGCCACATATCCAAAACTTGGGCAGGAAAGAATGCTGCTGGTCTCAAGAGCTACAGCTACTTGCTTAAAGACTGTTAACCCAATAAAGTCAATAGAAGGAAATATATCAAAGGCAACCAAAAGTGTTCAACTAAATCACAAGCATTTTTCAGAACTCTATAGAAATACAGATTTTATTTTATTTTTAATTGATTCCCATTTCTGCAAAAAGAAATACAGATTTTAAAATAGCACAGAACTGGATGAAAAAATAAAAACTCTAGAAACAGGATTTGTTTCTTCCCCACCTATATTTCTTAATAGATAATTATAGTGAATATTGGGTACTGTAGGTAAATTAGACTTTAGAGTAGTTCATAATTTCATGAAATATAATCCTGGTAATTTGTCTTCTCTTTTATAAAATCACCTAACTGACACCTTAATTGAGGCTTTTCTCATGATAGTACTAATATATTTTTAAAGACAGACGCTCCTCCACTTCCATATGATGGGGTTATGTCCCAGTAAACCCACTGTTTAGTGGAAAATATTGTAAATTGAAAGTACATTTTCAACCTATAACTTATATTTTTTTACTTATAACAGGTTTATCCAGACAAAGCTACATCATAAGTTGAGAAGCATACTGAATGCATATCATTTTTGTACCATCATAAAGTTGAAAAGATCCTAAACTGAACCATTGTAAATCAGGGACTGTCTATATTTAGATATGAAAGGTCATCAACAGAGCTTGACAGAACTTTCAAAATCTTTACTAATTACATATAACTCCATTTTTGTGCCTTAGCTGTTTCATCTATAAAATGCCATCCAGCAAGTTAATCTTCAGCTGAACACATATGTAGTTTGAAAGCAAATCTAACACTTCAATTTTAATTTAAAATACAAAGAAAGAATCCCCCTGTACACTGGGAATAATACAAAGCTTAGGAAGTAAGGTTTAAGTAAATCATCTTGGCTGGTAAGGCAGTTTAAAAGTCTGAGAAACACTGGACTAGATGTTCTTTATAGTTCTAAATTTCTACAATTAGGTTATATTCCTTCACATCAATTCAATGATTGTACCTTACCTTTCTCAATATAATTCTTGGGGGCCCAAGCAGGATCCCCATCTGCATATGGATCATTATACTGAACTACTGCAGCCTCCTCATCTTCATAATCCACTGGAGGTGGTGGTGGGGGAGGTGGAGAGTCATCAAACATGGGAATGTCATCTGGTGGAGGTGGTGGCGGTGGAGTTGGACTATCAGCAACTAAAAAGATTCATACGATTGATTTGAATCACAAATAAGTCTAGATGGAAAGTTATAAGTTAACAGAATTTAAGAAAGCTCTAACTTAAGTACAGCATGCACTATAATAAAACATGCAATGATTAGAAATAAAAGCTTGGTGTGTTAAAGTTTATGCTACTCAAGAATCATTTAAAAATAACAAAATGAGCTAAAAATAAGTGTATCTGGAAGTATTACAAATTAATGAATGCAGGGTGTTAGGAGACAATGTCTCTTTTTATAAGAATTATAGGAGTAGTTTCCTTATTCCAAGGTTCAGATCGGGACAAATGTTAACAACCTAAACTAAATCTATGTCACTTTTGTCATTTGGACTGCAGTAAACGATATAACATTACATTAATGGTTTGATCACTTTTCACTCTGCTCATTCATGCCCGATTTTGGCTTGAAACAGCTTTGGTTCCCTAAAAATTCAGTCTCCCATGGACAGATTTTTATTTCTTTGTTGATTATTGTTTGTTTTGATGGAGAGAAAGTTAAAGTTGGTGGTATTAGGTCTGCTTCTGTGTATAGATTTTCTACTCTGTTACTTACATTTTATAAGCTGAAAAAATGGAAAAAGAATCCCCAACCAGTAGAAAATCTAATTGAATATTTTTAAAAATGTTTATATTCATAATCAGTTTTTTTGTAGAAAGCAAGCTAAAATTTTGCATTATTGCTAGTAAAACATAAGCACGGGATGAGGGAAAGCCTAGATCCTGAAGATTCAATTTTCTAAGAATACATCAACAATTAAGATTTAAACATAAAGTGTTGAAGATGTAATTAAAAAAACAAACAAAAAGAAACTTATAGTAAACAAAACAATAAAAATGACTCATACCTCAAACTCTAGATGGTCGTGGTCAGTATGTATGTGTGTGCTTTACATAGTCAAAGGTGTAAACAGGGAAATGGGAAAATGTCAGGCTAGAGCTCTGTTCAATGAACTAGCATAATATCAGGTAAAAATGCTCCTGTTACTTAAAGAATTCAAAGCTGGAACCCAACTAGTGCTTAACTTAAATTTCTGATCCATAAAATTCTTTAAAAGTTCAAAAGACATATGAAAATGTTTTCATACAAATTGATACAGGAATTATATAATTCCTGCAGGGGAGAAGTTCATAATACAAACATACTAAATCAAATGCCAATTTCTGGGGCTATTTACGTGATCAAAGAAATCAGCCGTAATCTATTTGTCATACAGGTTTAAACGTTTACCCTCCTGGGAATAATGTGCTAAATATACAACCAAGGGCTCCAGGTTTAAAATATGTGCAGATAATGACCCTATTTCCATAACCACTTCAATGCTGTGATTTCTAGTTTATCCTCTTGAGAGATGAAAGAGCTATTAGAAAACAAATCCTGTATGGTAATGCTCACTCTAATACCTATCAGACGGGTCTACAATTCAATTTTCTGCCTCATTCCTAGATCCATTTTATCTTTGTCCATAACTTCCTCTATAAAACTTTTTGATATTATTGAGGAGAGGAAAATGGGTATGGACCCCTCCTGACATCAAACAGCCTTAGTTCATATCCTTAGTTTGACTTAATGTGTAAATTATATATGTGGGTACCTTGAATTTACTCTCGATTTATCACACTAGTTCAATGTTTTCACGAAACTGTCTTTATGTCCAACTGTTGTAAATCTACAGTCTTAACTTCAAATTATGGCAGAAGTCTTGGTTAATCTAATTCTCTGCATAA